TCATGACCACAGAAAGGGCTGATCTTACTCTAAAGTTCATCACTAGAAACGAAGCCAGGAAACGACTCCCCATGAGGTGAAGCCCTCCCCACAGCTCTTCTTTGGTAAGAGCTGCCCCGTGATCCTCTCAGAAGTTAAGCCCTTATGAAATGCTGTTCAGACAGCCTTTGCGATATTCAGATCTCCGGTCCGATTCGGAACCCCTTACTGTGAAGGAATATGTAGAATCTCCTCGGACAAGTTTAAAAGGCCATCCAAGCATATGGAAGTAAGAGACTCCCTGCCCTGGGGCGGATAACCTGGGAGGGGCAGCCTTCTTACTGGGAACCCGAGTATTTATGAAAACCTGGAAAGACGGGTCCCCTCAAGATCAGCTAACTCCATGTTGGAGGGGCCCCTCCCCTCTCCTGTTATCCACCCCAACAGCCATCAAGTGACCTGCAACTGCAAGCTGGATACACCACACCAGAGTCAACCCTATGTGCTGGACGACCCGACACCCACTCAGCACCTCGACGACTCCTGCCCGCCAGCTGGAGACCTCAAGCTCCTCTGTAAACAGGCTACCAAACCAGGTAAGACCAAATCATTATTCTCCTCCTTGCCACATACCTAGGCCTACCGTTAGAGGACAATACTGCTTCCTTAAAGGCCTACCTGCCTGCCAGTCACACTGCCACTTCTTGCAAGGCCTTGCTGAGTATGTGTCTACTCTTGGGACAGGGACAACTAGCCCCTGCAACCCACACCGACTGAGCCATCACCCCCACCTTCCTACATACAGACAAATCGTGTTTTGCTTGGAAGAGGAATAGAAAATACAATCAAAGCCAAAAAGATTTTCGTCCTCCGGTATCAACAACTAGACATGTTCCACCAGGATGGAAGACCTCTAAAATCCCACCAAAGCCTTAGTCTCCGATTTAATAAATGAGAGGCAACCGATTTCCGGTTGGCATGCGTAGCTCTTCTGCCGGCTCCTAAGCCGGGACCAGCAGTCGAAAGCCTGTCCTCCACCCAGTGCTCATGTATTTTCACTGTCCAGAGACAGCCTGCAAGTCAGGGGTGAGCCTAGGACTACACTCCTCTACAGGACAAGAGGGAACTGATGAGTTACTCTCCTAACGGCCCAAAGGACTGGCTCTTAACAGCCAAAGTTACAACAGCTCCGAAGAGTCATCCTCCTGTGGGGCTGGCCAATAACTTGACTGGTCCTTCCTTCTTCCTTGGTGTAACCGAGCCGGGCCTGAAACTAAGCACTCCTAGTTTCCATCCTCAAAATGGTTATCTCTGGGAGCCTACCAGGTCTACCTCATTCCTTGAAAGAAAAGACCAAGATGCTTCCCAGTGACCAGATCCATACCTTAGCTCCCTCACCTCCACAAATAAGGCAGTTCACGGAATTTGTTTACTCTTTTATCTGAGAAAAGAAAATAGGGTGACCTGACTCCACAGGAGGGAAGACAGGAGACCTACCGGGATGGGAGGTCATCAAGAACCCCCTGTACCTATGGGGGACACAACTGTCACACAAACATGCCTCCCTCTCAGGGCCTGCACTTCCTCTGCAGGTCCAAGGCCCACCTTCCACTCCCGCCTGGACAGGGACGCACAAACCCGCTCCCCAGGCACGCAAACCCGCACACCACCGCCTGGGTGGCCTGTCAGGACTCCCCGTGCCCGTTTTCAGTAGAGGGAGACTATCCCGAAGAGCATCCCCTCCTCCCACTTTCTACAGCTCCTGGCGTCACCAAAGGGGCGGGGTAAGTTGCTGGGACCAGCCTTCAGGAACCGCAGCCCCTTTGAAAAGCCTGCCGAGACCTTCTCAGCAACAAGGCCCGTTCGGTTCTCCTGCGGCAGTCGTGTGACATGCTAGAAGAGCTTCAGAGTTCTGACCGTAGCCAGGGAAGAAATGCATGTACCTTAAAGAAGACTGCTGCTTTCATGCCAGCCAGTTGGGGCAAGTCTAACAAAACATCAAGGACTTATTAACCAAGGAAGACAACACCCGAAATCTAAGTCAGCCAGCCTGGGAGCTTCCTGATATCCTTCACCGGACACTCCCTTTCATTGGACCGATCGGCATAATTCTTGTCATTCTAGCTTTTACCCCAATAATCTGGAAATGTCTGATACAGTTAGTCTCCTCCAGTTACAAGCCCTCTTTGCACTCCGGGAATACTGCCCTTGCCACCTCCAGACACCATCACCACGTCCCTGTGCCCAGGCCCAGCGCCCCTGACAGAGAGCAAGGGGCACTTGGCTCTGAAGGACAATTCTGCCCCTGCAGCAAGAAGCAGCTACAGAAGAGACCCTGCTCCCCTCCCCCTGAAAGAATCAGTGCCAAGATCCTCGAGGGAGGAATTAGTGGTGGGCAGTCAGGCAGACACGAGCAGAGCCACAGGCCCAGAACGAGATGTCACCAGGGCACAAAGCCCTGGAACCTGGCAACAGACACTGTGCAGTGGGCAGAACTGGGAGAGAAGTATTGCTAATCAAGACCTGGCCCCTCAGGCGCCCTCCCCTCCCCTAGATCTTCTCTGGTCACGTGGGCCCACACCCCAGGGCAGCTCTTTGAGCCGCCAACTCAAAACTTTCTTTCAAGTGTACTTTTGCTTTGCTTGCTGAATAAACCTTCTCACGAGTTTGACTTTTGGCTCTGGATTCTTTTCCTAGCCAGAACTCAAGTACCAAGGTCTACTTTCACTATTTACAAGTTCATTCAGCAAAATTCTGCAAAATGTGTGTCACCCACTACAGAGATTGTTCAGCCCCTGGTGCATTTGTATTGACTTGTTTCTGGTGGTAGCTTGTCCTAAAATGTGTGTAGAAAGCAGGTATTACATGATAAATTGTTGTGTAGTGCATGTTCCGTGTGGAAGTCAGAGAAAAACCCAGATTCAGTAATTAACAATGCCAAAAATACAAGTAACTAGCCACTGTCTACATAACAATGGTGCTATTTATCTTTTATGGTCTTTTAGACTTTTGTTTTCTTAAAAATCCATTTTATTGGGAACCCAATTTCCTGGTCTTTCATGACAGGGTCTTTTTTCTACATTAAGCAGTTTCTAAATAAAAGTCCGTATTTCAAAAAGAAAGGTTCCTAGCCTGGGCACATATTCCTAAATTGTAAGCATTAAAGAACACACCTCATTTTCTATGTTGTAAACTATATGGGGCTTTATTCTGATCACCCACCATCAAACCATTGCTAAAGTAAGGACTCCTAGTCTTTCTCGTCACTCAAGGGAATACCATTACAATTTCAGTCTGTCTCCAAAGATCAACAAGAAAAAACAAAGTATAGAATGGCTGGCAGTTCTAAATGTTCTCAATATGCTTCTCAATCCTGAGCTTTTTTTTTTTATTTTAACATCCCCCAATCCCGAGTACCAGTGGAGATGCAGTATAAACATTTCTATGTGGGAGCTGTAGTTTAACAGCCTTAATAATTACAGCTACAAAATTTTCAGACCTAGAGTATTTTGGTGGCAATTAGAGTTATTGATACTTTTGAAATTCATTTGAGGTTTTACTGTAACTTTAGCAAAAAAATGACATGATAGGGCTTTGGAAAAAATTGTTTCACAATCTTAACATTATTAAGAAAGACTTAAACTAAACCCATATTTAAAATTCAATAAAAACAAATTGCTCTTGATCAAAATACAGATATATTTAAAATATACTTACTATTGACTCAATTTAATGGGAAGAATATATTGTTCCATTTAATCAATATGTTGAGATTAACACTTTTATTAATTTTCTACAATAGTTAAGAAAAAGACTGATACTGCTCAGAGTATTGAGCAATATTCCTCAAAATTTTTCAGATATTAAATATGCAAAATAACTCTGAAGTTGAAATGACATTTTAGCCACTCCTCAACTATGTGTTACTGTGTAAGGTACTACTACAGTGTGAGTGTAACAGCCCTAAACAACTGGATTTAGGGAATAGGTCCTCAAATTACTTGTGAGAAAATCGCTGTTGCACCTCCTTCTAAAAGGTTAGGGAATGCACGCAGCAGCCTGGAGGCGGGTCATCAGCAGTTCTAAAGAGACAGGTCCATCTTCCATCACAAAGGCCAGGAAAGCTACAACAGAACAAACACAATAACCCTGGTCTCCCTGCGCTGAGAACTAAGGAAACCTGCTGAGGACTGGGAATGAGCCAAGCCCCGAGCAAATTTTTACAAAGCAGTGTTACGTGGCCCTGGTCTGTGAGTTTCCTCGGGAAACAGACAGACGGGGAGACCCGAGACCGCGCGGCGGAGACACGGGGAAGCAGCAGCATCCACTGTGCTCGGCGCACAGAAAATGGGGGCACCACGCGAGGATGGCTTTAAAGGAACACGTTCACCTTCCCTTTGATCTTGTATCCTACTTGCATCACATCCTAACAGTCATGGAAATAAAAACCAAAGTAAGCCGTTAGCATAAAAAATGACAGTGAACAGGAAAGGTATGTTGTGTATACGAAGCACATCTCTGGAATGACAGTGGTTTATAATTCTGTAGATAACTACCTGTTCAAGATAAGGAGAGGATTTAAGAAACCAAGCTCATTCTTTCACGTTGAAGCTTAAATTTCAGCTCTTATTTGAAGTAAGTCCTCTAAAATTACTTTCCTGCTTCAAAAAACCAACCACCCAGCACACACTACACCAGGCCAGCCCTCCCCGCCCTGCCCCGCACAGCACTGTGGCCAACAGGCACACGGCTCATGCTTCAGGCTCGGGCTCCCTCTTGCCTGAGCCCTTCCCCCAGGCTTTTCCTCCTAGACTTGCCCCCAAATCTGAGTGAAGTCCCAAAGCAGAAGCACTTGGGGTCAGCTCCATGGAGGGCTCGGGGCTCTCATGGTCTGAGCAGACGAAGGGTGCAGGATAAACGGGGTCTATTAAGCTGGATCTAAAACTCTCATTTATCAATAAACCTGCTGCCTAAGATAAAGCAAGCAGTACAACTGTTTATAATAACCTCTGCAGACTGACCTCAGCCGCTGTTTGTAATAGTCTTCGTCTCCATCGTCTCGGCATCTCACTACTTTCCGGCCTCCTCCTCCTGCAGAAGCTTCAGCTTCTTCCCCAGAACTTGGAAAAAAGTCATCATCGATCTCCTGCACTGTGACTTTCTTCTGCCACTTCCGGCGCGTGAGGACAGGCCCAAGTTCGGAGTCCGTGTCTTCTGCGGACAGGGCCCCGCCCGCCGCCGCCCCCTGCTCCTCCTCCTCCGTGGGTAAGTACTCGGACCCTTCACCCTCGGAGTCTCCCTCTGCCGTCAGCCTCACGTCAGGTTCCAGGCGTTTCTCTCCCTTCAGCAACCCCACGGTCCCCCGGAACCGAAGAGCCCTCCTCTGGAGTTTCTTGATGTGCTTTTTCAAGCGCTTGTCTGTTTTCGAGAGAATTTTGCCCCTCTTGTCTGGTCTGTTTTCACCGAGTGCTGGGCTCAGCTCAGAAGTGACCGAGGCTGCAGTTTTCCTGGCTGCCCTTTTATTACAAGCTTGCTTCTTCCTTTCAAAAGACAGTTTTGCTTGATCTGCCAAGTACTTTTCAAAGCCAGATGCTTCATTGAGCATTAGTTTCCTCGGCTTTTTCTCCTGTTTCTGAGGGATGTGGCTACCAAAAGGTGTCATCTGGCCGGTGCGGATGAGCTCCTCCCAAGCAGTCTCCTGAACAGGCATGAGCATGCTGCCCAGGCAGGACGGCCCCGCTTCTGAAAGAGGATGGCAACAGATTGGCACTGGGTAAGACTTCCCAGGAGTAAAGGGACATGTATTAACCTACTCAACAATACGAGGCACCTACAAATAACACATGAAAAAGTATATCATTGATGTACTAAAGCTTATCATCTACGAAGAACAAGGCAAAATCTATTCATCAGGCGCCTTTACTACACTCCTGTTCAAAAGGGGATTTCTCATTAACTTTTTCCAAAATAGGGCATTAAAAATATACTCTCGTGCATCCAAAGGCAGACCTAGTCACATGTAACATAAAAACAGATAAATTTAGCTGTTTCCTTATCAATTAAAGAATGACCCGGGAGGAAGCAAGCTCCCAAGTTTCCATGTCATTGCTAATACCAGCCTTCAGGTGGACTTTAATTCAAGAGACAGGAAAAGCAAAAACAGACATCAAAAGAATCAGCATGCACCTGTATAGGTAAAAGATAAATGTTAGATCTGCACTGCCCAATATGATAGTCACACATGGCTATTTAAATTTAAGTTGAAGCCCTGGCTAGTTTTACTCAGTGGTTAGAGTGTCAGCCTAGGATTGAAGGGTCTTGGGTTCGACCTGGTCAAGGGCATGTACCTGAGTTATAGGTTTGTTCCCTATGCAGGAGGCAACCAATCGACGTGCCTCTCTCACATCAGTGTTTCTCTCTCTCTCTCTCTTTCTCTCTCTCTCTCTCTCTCTCTCCCTCCCTTCCACTCTGTCTAAAAATCAATGGAAAAATATCCCTGGGTGAGGATAAAAAAAAAAGCTAAGTTGAAATTCAGTTTCTCAGTTGCACCTGCTGTACTTCAAGTGCTTGCTCAACAGCCCATGTGGCTGGACAACACACAGGTATGTCCATCACTGGACAGCACAATGTCAGATGTGTGAAGTTAACTGGCTGAAGAATGAACTAAATTGAAAGCTATGCCATAATAACATAAGGTCATCTAGAAACTATCCTTCTTTCATTTGTTGAAATTAATAATTTCTGGCAAGATTACTTTACCCATTGCCAAAATACTAAAAGTAATAAGGCTTAACAGGAAGAAATCCATATTCTAAACTCTACATTTCTTGTAGGCCAATACCACCACGGCCAATTTTTCATTAAACTTGCACTAAAAAAAAAAAAAAAAAATCACCAAGTGCACAAATCCTAAATGTACAGCTCAATGAAGTTTCAGAAAAAAAATACCCGTACACCACCACCCAGATCAAGAAACAGAAATGACTAGCACCCTAGATGTGCCCGTCTTTGCACCTCCAAGCCTCTACCCACCCCCACCCCCCCCAAGACAAAGACCTGACTATCACAGTAAAGACAAGGTGTACCTGACTTGGAACTTGATGTAAATGGAAATGTTCATACTGTTGGTGTCTGGCTTCTTTTGCTCAACACTACCCATATAAGATTCACACTCGCTGATTATAGTTGCAGTTTGTTTATTCCCACTGCTATTAGTATTCAGTTATATAACTATACTACAATCCTTCCATTCCATAATTAGTGGACATTTGGGTGGTTTCCAGTTTTGGCTACTCGGAGTAATGTTGCTATGAATATTCTGGTACAACCTTTGGTAACACATCTTACAATTCCTTGAGTACGTTAAGCTTTATAGGCACTGACAAACCAGTTTCCAAAATGATCTTGTCAATGTTAAGATCCACCAACAGTGCTGAAGTTTCAATTGGTCCACATTCTATTTTAGCGATCCTGATGGGCATGTGGTAGTACTACTATAAGGTATGATTTTTATTTCCCTAATGAGTAATGACCTACGGTATCTATTCACAGATTTATTGATATTTTGGATAGTCTCTTTTGAAGAAAATGTTCAAGTCTTTTGCCCATTTTTCTTATAGGTAATCCGCCTTTTTAAAAAAGATTTCTAGTTCTTTATACATTCTTACATTACACATCTGTCGTAAATCAAGTGACCATATGTGGGTGGGTCTGTCTGCTGAGCCCTCTGTTCTGTTCCATTGGTCTATTTGTCTCTCCTTGTGCCACTACTGCAGTGACTTAATCACTACAGCTTGACAACAGGTCTTCATATTGTTTTCGTTAAGACTGCCTTAACCATTTTTGGCCTAATGACTTTTTATATAAGTGTCAGTCAGTTTGTTCACGCCTTACCCTACACTTCCCACCCAACAATCTCTTCCTCAAACCCCCTGGAAATCTATATTGAGGTTGCACTGGAACTACAGATGGACCGAACTGCCATCATCACAACACCACATCTTCCCGTCCATTACCATGGTATGTCTCCCCATTTATTTATGTCTTCTTTTCCAATAACATTTCCTAGTTTTTAATGAAGAAAGCAATGCAGGTAATTACATTTTGTTGTTGTTGTTGTTAAGATTTACTTCTAGGTATTTGATTTTTATTATAATTGGCACCTTTATGAAATTTTATTTTTTGTTTTTGTTGGTATATAGAAATAGGATTGATTCTTACATATCAGCCCTATAGTCAATGATATTGCTAAACCAATATATTAATTCCAATAGATTATCCATTGATTCTTTTGGATTTTCTACATAAACAATCATGTATTTAGTGAATAGTGATGGTTTTATGTCTTCATTTCAATCCTTATGCTTTTTATTTCTTTTTTCCATTACTACACTGTCCAGGACAATGTCTGCCAGAAAGAGGAACAGTGAGTACCCCATCTCCCCGAGATGAGAGGAGCAAAGTCTACTTCACGGAAGGGTTCTCTGCCAGAAAGCCCGCACAGCCACCTCTGAAAGGGACACTACGTGGAGAAGAGGGGAGGGAAACCTCGGGGAAGCAGAGAAATGAAGGTCTACCATACCTACGCCTACCTCACAAGTTCAAAACAGGCTTGGAAAGGTTCGGCAACAGCCACCGTCTATGCCCAGGCAACGCAGAGCTGGGTCACACAAAGCTTGGGCTCCTACACACTCTACTTTACTGCCTCTCCAAATTGGGCCCAGGGCCCCAGGGACCGAGCCAAGCGACTGGGAGTCAGAAATGCTGGTTGGTGCCCCAGTGGAGAGATAAATAGGAACCAAGAGCTCAGAGAAAAGGTAAGGCCTACAAATTTGTAAGATACTAGCACTTAGGTGCTGACAAAAGCCATGGGGAGAGGATGAGATTATTTGGGGAGAGGTCCAATAAGAGGGCTCAGCAAAATGTCCTGAGAACAATTAACATTAAAGATAAGGCCAGAAACACTGGCCAAAAATAACTCAACAGGAATGTCAGAGGGCCGAAAGGAAACCGGGGAAGACAGGAATCCTGGGAGGCCCAGAAGTGTCCACTCTGATGCGGGCCAGTGCAGCGAGGGTGAACAGAGGCTTTTGGGATTTGGAAAGTAATTATTAACCCTGAGCAGTTTCACCAACGAAGCAACAGGAGGCGAAAGAGAGCAGCGCGCTTCAGGCAGCCAGACAAGAGCACCATTTGTTACCAATGAGAAATCAGGTCCCTAGGCAGCGGAAGGCATGAGGTTTAAAACCCCATCTCTCCGATATTGTTCTATTACTTGTTAATTCTTCACAATTTTCTTGTCTTACTGAATAAATTTCTGGAGCTAGTAGAAAATATTTGCGTGAAGAGTTTAAATGCTAAGAAGCCCTTAATCTTTATTTTGAGTAGTAAATGAATGAACAGCTACCAACAATTTCTAAACACAGGTATACACACACTGACTACAGAGATACTTCATTTCAGAGCTTACACATTTTCTCAAAAGCTGCTCATCCAAGGCAGTGATACAAACAAAATCACGGCCACCGAATAGCCGGAATGAGGTGTCTTTCCTTAAACAACAGAACTGATGTTTGGAAAACCTATCAAATATGTCTCAAAAAGATATGTGAACGCATTTCTATGAATCCTGATTGATGATGTTGGGCTTTACAAAATGTAACTCAACCAAGATGTTAGTCCTCTTTATAAAATTAACTATACAAGAATGTGAACATTTCTAACTTATTTCTAACTTTAGTATAAACATAATACTAAATGTGGACTAGCAGCCAAGAGTAGACTGAGTTAAAAATTTTACTTTCACTCTCTAACTTTGGTTCTGCAGGTATGAGAATAAAATGTTCTTAAATTAGTTTTGACACTAAGGTAAAGAAATATATTTATCTGATAACCTAGGCCAGGACTGATTACGGGCATCAGGCATCAATTCCAGAAAGGAGAGACACTGTTCCCAGTACCCTCACCTGCGTCCTCCTCCTCCAGACTGGCATGATCTATTTCAGCTTTTACCGCCACCCCTCCAAGGAGGGCCTGGAGACGTTTCTGTTTTGCTGTGATCTTCTTTAGCTGTTGTTCCTTAAATGGTAAATAGTGAATACAGAAAACAGCAATGCAGTGACTTATTGTTAAATACAAAAGACAACATTACAAAATTTAAAAACTTTAATCAAGAGCAAAATAAAAATAAAACAGAAATCCCATATATTACTACAGAGAACCTTATTTGAGCAATTGCCATTTTTCCAGCAAGAAGAGGCCTCAGAGCCTTTCCATCGGGCAGGCTTCCCTGCCCCCAGCCCCCACGGCGTTCTGTGCGGAGCACTGCGGTGCACACGCACCGACTGCCCGATGCTTTGGGAGGTGGCACTGCTCCACTGGTCACCCCCACAGCTGGTAAATCACCACGCTTCTCTGTGTTTCACACCTTAACAGCCAACAGACTATGAGGTCAATAGAAGACTGTAAGGATAAGAAACACAAACATGAATATTCAAAAGTTGAAAAGGTCAACACCCTTTGATAACTTGCCATATTTATGACTGTCCATTACAGTAACCTACCCAATCACAAAATTTTAAAAGGAAAATATATGCTGATATACCCTTTTACCCCACTCACCCCAGACTTCTCTGTCTTGTCACCCTCTACATCACCAAAGCTCAGATATGGGGACACTCCTATGGCCTCCCCAATTAATAAGGCCTGTGGTACCTGGTTCTTCCCAAGGTCAAGAATGTTTAAATACCAAGTATGAATGTGAGGAAATCCTGAATATAAAGGCCACGTTAGAATGACTCGTAATTTGTTTTCTTTTGCAGTTTTTCTCAGCTAAATCTTACTTAAAACAGCCTTTTTCTCTGACTAGTCTATCTCTAAATACCAAAGAGCTGCTAAAGAGATAGGAGTATATAATTGAGTTGGACTATTACCTAAAGCAGCCTAAAGTTTGATCTTCTCCTCTCCTTGAAACTCCAGCCCACCGGAAGCCCAAGGTCAGAGAAGGTCTCTGCACATTAACTCGCAGGCTCCCTCTCTGAGTTGGGAAGACCAACAGCTGCCTCAAGGCACCGCTGGCTTGACTTTGGGCTGCTATTCTGGAGGTGAGAGAAGACGGGGTGGTGAAGATAATGGACTGGAGAGTGGAAGGCAAAAGGAGGAACTGAGTCTGTACACCCCCCTCTAGCAGAGCTTCAATGACAGATGCAGATGCTACTACAATGCGATGAATCAACTGCAAGCACAAGGAATCTGTCAGCCACTTGGGATGGCAGAAATGAAATGATCAAAACTAGGCGATCCTATTTTCTGCAATGCATTTCCATAAAGTGTATATAAATTCTAAAAAGTGTTTTGAACCTCATAAAAACAATGACATAAGTAACACAGAGACCCTACCCTGATTCCTACGACTCTAAATGCAGACACAGCCCTGGCCGGTTTGGCTCAGCGGTTAGAGCGTCGGCCTGCGGTCCTGAGAGACCCGGGTTCGGTTCCCGCTAAGGGCATGTACCTCGGTTGCAGTTTGTCCCCGGCCCTGGTTGGTCGTGCGGGTGGCAGCCACTCGATGTGTTCCTTTCACATCGATGTTTCTCTCTCTCTCTCTGTTCCTATCTCTCCCTCCCACTCTACCTGAACAAAAAATGGAAAAATGTCCTCAGGTGAGGATAAAAAAATAAAAATAAAAAATAAAAAAATAAATGCAGACACAGTGTGGCTGGTGGTGACTACACCACGCCAGCCCCTCGGACAGTGAGCGTGGAGCTGAGCAGGAAAGAACGGAGAGCTCACAGACCAGGAGACTGAGCAGAGGCCGGCATGACCAACAGGAGCTCCGTGGGCAGAAAAGCACGTGAGGGAAGGAAGACGTGAAACACACATGAGAGAGGAGGCATGCAAAGACCAAAAAAACACCTTTTCTCAAATACGTACATATGTATATGCGTATGTCTGAGTGTATTTTAAACAATACTCTTTAACAGAGGATATTAAAGGAAAACGGCTGAAACGTTAAACATACAAAAAAAACTCAAAACTTTCTACTATAAATATATGCTACACATCTCATAAGTACTTTTCAGAATAATTCTTAAACCCTGAGCCTAAATGATGACTTTTTCAAGTGTTATTTGAAATCACCTTATTATACTTCTGCCGTTTTACAGAATCTAGTTTCCTGTTGATGTCTCTGCTGGTGGCAGCTTGAGGGCTCAGCTGTTCAATAATTTTATTAATTTGCCTTAGGGATGTCGTACATGACCTGAAAAATAAGATAAAATATCTATTTTCCACCCTGGTAACATTTTCAGTAGTATAATACAAAGATAGAAATACTAAAAACATGTTCCTTTTACTCCTTATTAACCAAAATAAAAGAAACTAACCCAGAATGCATATTCTTGTTGGCCACAAACAGAACTTGAAGATTTGTTAGAAGTTTAAGATGACTACTAGTGTTTTCTTTTATCCGGCTCATTAAATCAGCTCATTCCACTTTACAAGCTGATTAATTTATTCTACAAGCATTTTAAGTGTCTATTTTATTCAAGAGACTGTTCTAAAACAACATGCAGTAAGTTGTCCTTTTATATGAAAAAAGGCATACATTTTTTAAGACTATCTTTATAGCAGTTTTAGGTTTACATTGAAATTGAGAAGGCACAGAGCTCTCCCATATACCCGGTCTCAAGTACGCACGGCCTCCCGCATTGTCAAGAATCCATACATGGGTTTTAAAAGCCCAGTCTTCCGAAGTTTGGAAAAGTACTGAAAATGCTTCAACATTTTCTTCAATAAGTCAGACATTTGTGGCAATATTTTTCTATTACATGACTAGAAGACATATTTGCTATAGTATTACCCTTTGTAGGGTGAAGAGAAAAAAAAATCAATTTATAATACATTGCTCCAAAAATAGACACCATAGTATTACAGCTCCCAATTTTCAAAACACAAACTCAATCTGGACACTTGTGTAATTTGCTGTTGTGTCCTTTATGGATTTCAGCATAAAAACATGTTATCAATGCCCCTTACCGGCAGGCTACGCGTCACCTGCCACCATCCATCTAGTGTTAACCTGCCTGGTGACTCTGCAGCACTTCGCTGTCACCCGTCAGCAATGGACACATTTCTAAGGTCAAATGTAAAAGGTGTGCTCATTAAAAGAGTTGAGGTGCTCACACCTGAAGGTCAGGCTACTACTCTTCAGGAATATCTGCAACTCAAGAGGCCAAAAAAACACACCAGGAAACTTAAAAAGAAACATGTCCTTTAAATGCCAACAGCCACCTGTACAACAGCCTTCCCCGGTGGGGAAGCTCTATGTTCTTCCTTCCTCTCCCCTCCACCCAGTCCTCCCGTCTTTCCTGCTCACCTGACACTGCCTAGACGACTGGCCACGGGGGCGAAGGCTGGCAATGGGAGTGAGCTCATGCTGCACGCCCTCTAACCCAGGCCCAGGGCCTCTCCCTTCTCTACCACTGTGTTACGCTCAACAGAATCCAAGTCTGTTTCTCCTCTAAACACAAATGAAATCTCCATGGGACTTCATCTTCCCTCACGGTCAAAAGTAGGACAGAAGAAAGGAAAAGCAGAGAGATGTTTCTCATTGTTCCTAGAAATGCAAAATCTGAAAAATTACCAAAAGACTGACACTCGGTTTAAGGACAGGAAACTGGAAAGAAACTAGAGGACAGAGGAAAATGTGAGGGCAGATGTATTCCTGGTATCTGGAGCGGACACAGACTGCAGGTTCACTTCTCCTGAGAACTACCTTGTGCACATGCTTGTGAGCTCTAGGTCATTATGCACACACAGGCTGTGGTGAGCTGGACTGAAACTTTAACTGCCGGGTACAATGCTGCTCTGGAGGGAAAGGGCTGAGGTTCAAACACAAGGTCAATGGCTGCCCTTACTGACTCTATCCTCCATATAAGAAGTTCTACAAATCTAATATTTCTGGAATACAGCTATACTCTGAATTTCCCCATCACATGTAAACACAAACTGTGCAATTAGAGAAGATGGTCCACACTCACGTGAGGTCATCCAAGACGGACTGATACTCCTTCTCTGCATCAGCGAGCTCGGCAGCATGGCTGGCCTCATGGATGGCACTGTCCACCTGCTGCAGCACACCCTGCTCCAGCACATCCTGGTCATAGACGTCCACACCCAACCCCTGCAGTTCAAGGGCCTGCGCACTCAGCTCCACTGCCTGGATCTGATGTCTGTTGATGTGCAGCAGGGGAGGCCTTCTCCTGGGAACCTCCCACGGACACTCCTTGGTGGAAGTGGATGGGCCACTTGCAGAGGAACAAGAGGGGAGGCTTTCTTCCATCTCTGCAACACCATCGCTCTCTTGCTTGATTGTCATTTCTTCATTATCACGGACACACCAACTCTGTAAACAGTCTTGCTCTGGCGTTTGACTTGAGTTGGGGATTTTCTCATTTTGCATCCTCTACAGACTTTCTAAAAGGGGAACAATTTTTTTCAATGGCCTTTTAGTTATATAAAATTGAAGCAGATTAATTTCTCAAAAGATCAAGTAATAATCCTCCAATTACACAAACTCAAGTTTCCAAGTATTATTTTTCTTAAAGGCTATGTCTTCTTGAGTTCTGATTAGAAATAAGAAAAACTGGCCAAAAGAAAAAGACAGAAGAAGAAAAAACGCAGCATCAACGAAGGACACTGGGTAGCCAGCTACAGAAGCTGACAGCAGAGATCTGAGCGACACCTAGTGTCTTCCCCCAGCCAACTGAAGTCATCTGACTGGGGCTTCCCAAATTAGCATCTTCACTGCATTATGGCATAAATGACTTACAGTACAGTGGAATGATCAACTGTAATGTATAGGTGTAGATTTTGTGATGTAAGGAGAGAATTTCTATACAAACCTGACACAGGAACATTTATTCCAATAAACAGAAACTCTGAACAAGAGATAAACAGCACCACTCAAATCAGAATCCGAAAAAAATTAAAATGTTCTCAAAAAATAACTCCATTTCAATGTGTGATATAATTTCTTGCCCATCAAGCTTGGCAAAAATATCAAGCCAGATAATATCCAGTATAAACAAGGAAGCTACACCCTCGTACAATGCTGGAAAGAATGTAAGTTAGTAAAGCTCCTCTGGAAGGCAATTTAGTAGTATCTGTCAAGGTTTAAAATGCACATGACCAGTTATTTACTCTAGAGAAATACATATACACAAACATGAAACATACTCAGTGGTACTGAGATAAGTCTTGTCAAGTGAAAAAAAGCTACATAACACATTTATGTTGAAAACACTGTGTATCTGCAACTGCGTGTATGGAATGCATTCAGAGTGACCTGGAGATACACACTAAACCTACAATCGTTGGGAGTGGGCAGCAGAAGGGGCAGGGAGGAGCAGAGAGAAACTTTCTCATTTCCAAGTAGTCAGGAACTCCTTAAATAAAAATATATCCACTATACTGCCTGTATAACTCAAATAGATAGATTATAAAGCAACACAATAACCAAGAGACAGCCTTGTTTTCAAATTAACTGTAAGTAAACTAAGGTTTCTTGCCCTGGCCAGTTGGCTCAGCAGTTAGAGCATCGGCCCACGGACCAGAGAGTCCTGGGTTCGGTTCCCAGTAAGGACACGTACTTCGGATGCAGTTTGTCCCCGGACCCAGTTGGGGTCGTGTGGGTGGCAAACACTCAATGTGTCTCTCACATCGATGTTTCTCTCTCTCTCTCTTTCTCCCTCTCTCCCTCCTGTTATATCTGAAGATAAATGCAAAAGTGTCCTCTGGTGAGGATAAAAAACAAAAAACTAAGGTTTCTTTCGGCACTGAAAGTTATTTCTACCAAATGGCCACAAGTTCCTCCAATAAACCCCACTCATACCTCATTAGATAAAAAGATCCCAGAGGCCAAGTCCTGGGATATAGAGATGCCAGAACTTAGCATCCCCGGGCCCTGAGTGGCTCACCCTCTAGTGGAGAAGACGGTCAAAAACAACAGAGTGGGGCAGGCTCGCAGAAGAGACATGAACAAGAGGCCACATGGACACAGGAAGGGGCGATGCATTGGGTATGGAGGTCAAAAAGCATGTACAAATTTGAACACCTGGCCCAGGGTCTGATACACAGGAGGTGCTCAACCGATGCTGAAAGAGAGTCAGGTACAGAGAGCAGTCTTAAATAACAAGTCTGGTCTGGACAGCTGAGTCACTGGTGACTTCTGTCACAAAATGAAATCTCTGAAGAAAGCAGATGGAAGCAGGGAGATGAGCTGGCAGGGAGCTTACAACCCGCCAGTGACGTGTCAGGATGCAATCAGAAGTACAAACTGCCCTCCAGAGGAAGAGATGTGGGTGCATCACCAGAGCCAACAGCCGGGAATCCCAAGGCTGCGACAGGCACCAGAGACTTTAAGATGTAAAAGTGAACAACAGAGTAAGAAAGTCCCTCCTTTTTTTGGCCTTCTGATTATTTTCATTAAGTAATAATATTGTAGAATAAAGACAAGGGTAAAATAATGATGTTTGCAGGAAATTTCTAATAGAAAAGGAAGAAGAGGGGATAGTTAAAATTGAAAAATAATATGGCAAGTTCAAAGAAACAGAGGCCACAAGTGGGTAGCCTAGCCTCTAAGGAGCTTGCCCATGGATGGGAGACAGCTGGAATGATAAAATAATAATGAATTGGGAGAGGAAAATTAGGTCAAGAAAAGCTATAAAATGTCATAACTGGAGAGGGAGTAGGGAGATAACCTACACAGAATGTTGTACAACAGACAGAAGGAAAAGATAAAGTGCAGAAGTAAACAGAAGGCACATCTTTCTGATTCTGGCAGAAGGATGACTTTCCTAATGTACTTAAATTTGTAGGTACAGCAGAGAGAAGCTGAAAATATCCTATCAGGTAGAAGTTTGGGCATTTCATGAGTCAGGACACAAGAATAAGAATCTGTAATAAACGTCCTGTAGAAAAGAAAAGCTGACTGAGAACTCACACTGGTGACAGGTATAGAGGGGCTACCTGAATTTGGAATGCCCCAAACCACAGATTGCCAAAAATCCCCAAGACTGTAAAACTTACATTTTCAGTGATTAACAATCCCAGGGGAAATATCACTGTTGGGGGTTTTCAGAGCAGAAGTAGCTGAAGGACAAATGGGCATAGGGTGAAGATGCTAAGTTACTGATCTTGGGTTTCAAAAGTTGGATAGATATTTTTTAAAAAGCCAGAAGAGCCCTGGCCGGTTTGGCTCAGCGGTTAGAGCGCCGGCCTGCGGTCCTGAGAGACCCGGGTTCGGTTCCCGCTAAGGGCGCGTACCTCAGTTGCAGTTTGTCCCCGGCCCTGGTCGGTCGTGCGGGTGGCAACCACTCGATGTGTCCCTTTCACATCGATGTTTCACTCTCTCTCTCTGTTCCTCTCTCTCCCTCCCACTCTACCTGAGCAAAAAATGGAAAAATGTCCTCGGGTGAGGATAAAAAAAAAAAAAAGCCAGAAGAGATGAGAGGATGGAGGGCAAAGAAAGCAGGGAGACAGGAGAGAGGAAGAATGAAAGAATGAAAGGAAGACATCAAGAAACCACATGGAGGGAGCCTGTGCACCAAAGAATGTTTCATGGAATGAAAGCTAAAAACCAGAAGGTTCTCCTTAGAAGTAAAGAGATTCAGAAGTGACATAAATCATCCATTCAACAAAGATTTATTGAGAGTCAATCACACCAGGCAATGTGCTAGGTTACCTAGTTTCTGTCCCTGCAGGGCTTAGAGTCTCTGGGGGAAGACACATATTTTAAAAATTACATATACATATACAAACATGTACATGTATATATGAAACATATATAATATACACACATGCTCACTGTGGTAACCGCTGCAAGAGGAAAGTACAGCACTCTTGATGACAAAGTAACAGAGGAACCTAAACGACACTGCAGAGGAGGTATGAGGTCGGGGAGGCCTCTGATAAAGTGATATTTAAGCCAATACCTGAAGAACGAATAGGAGTTAATCAGGCCAAAAGTGGAGTGAACGCTCTGGCAAGTAACAACGTGTGAAATTTCTAAAGCTGGCGAGAGCTGGTGCATTTGGGAAAATGGGAGAAGCGAGCACACTAAGAATTCATTTCACTTTCCCTGCAAACCTATCGCTCTGCAAGGTTTCCATCATCTGGGAAAACAAGATCTTTATTGTCCTCCCCTTGGAGCGCTGGGGTTCTGTGGGACGACTTGGATTCTTGTTCGGAGGCTTCAGTGCTTACACACAAAACTGAAGGGGCGGGCGAGTGGAGCGGAGGGGCACGCGAGGACCCGATCACACTGGGCCTGGGTGAAAAGCAAGCCTTACTCCAAGTACAACGGGATGACTTTGAAGAGTTTTAAACACGGTGACGATAGCATGGCCCAGTCCGTGGGCTACTGCACCGACAATGGATTGGAGGAAACAGTGCAGCGAGGAGATGATGGGAGACACACGCGTGAAAGTGACAGCAGCGTGGAAGAGTGACAGCAGGGACGACGGCGCTACATGGGAAATCTCTGTCACAGCACTGACAGCCGACTGTCAGTCTTCCTTCCCGACACTGAGTATCAGTGCATTTAGCCCGACTCTTCCGAGTAACAAGTCCGGGAGGTCGTGGAGATCAAACCGGGCCTGGCCGACCCCGCCGTGGCCCTGACACAAAGCCAGGAAGTTGACGCTTCGGCGCTGGCTCGCCCGCCCCGGGCCGGCCAGAGTTTGGGGACCCGCCGCCCCAGGTGGGCACGCACCGCACCGTCACTTCCGACCGCAGGGGGGCGGGCAGGGACGCGCGCCAGGCCACCGGCGCGGCGGGCTCCGGGACCGACTAGAGGCCCGCGGGGCGAGGAGGGGACGCGGCGGCCTGGGGAACACGGGCGAGGCCCAGACACTACCCGCCCGACGTCCACCCCGGCCGCGCCAACACTCACCCCAGGCCACGAGGCCGCGGGAGGCAAACGCAGACCCGGCCGCCACAGCCAGCAGCAGAAGACTCCGCCTGGGCAGCCACGGCGCTTGCGCCTTGGGCCCGCCGGAAGCACCGCCCCCAGCGGTGACGCACAGGGCCTGCGTGGGCGGGGCCAACGGCGGCGCCGCCTGCCGGAGGACTTGGGAGGCGGGCAAGGCCACGTGGTTGGAGGGAAGGGGGCAGCCCCGCCTCTGCACCTGTGAGCCGGATGTGGCTGAGGGCTCGGCCCCAGCCAGGTGTGTGGCTGGTTCCCGGTGCTTCGCTCCCGGTGAAAATGCCTCTGTAGGAGCGCGATTATAAAGATGAAAACATATGCTTTTAGAGAGAGAGGTATTGGAGTAGACCGTGCGAAGGTAAATGCTTACAACCGTCAACCCCAAAGAGAAAGCAAGCTTGGGGACCGGGGCTGGCAGGGGCGACCTCCCGTGTCATCTGGCCCAGCTGTGAGCGCGTGAGAAATAAGGACAGGACTACGTCTGTGCCGTCTCGCCGCCACGCGCCCGCGCGCGCGCACACCCACCCACCCACACACCCTGGGCGGGGGCAGTGTGTGCTCACAGTGGGCCTACATGAAGATCTTGATTGCATTAGTGAGTCCATCACTTAGTATCTGCCCTCAGATCACAGATGTAAGGAGGGTTTTGAGCCAGGAGAGAATTTTACCTTGGAGCATTTGGAGAAACAAAATGCCAGCACATAGGTAAGGGAGGAGTGTCCGGTGGTGGGAGCTGAGCCAAGAGGCAGCGGTCAGCCCAGGGATTCCAGCGCTGGAGGCTGGGTTTTCCAGGGCCTAGAACCAGAAAGCCCTCTGGGAATGACAGAGGCCTGGATAGGACAGCGCCTTACTCGTTTTGAAGACTGAAATCGGACAATAGGAGAGGGGATTGGGAAGCAGACTTCGTAGTACTCAGAAATGCCACCATATCTCCTGTTAGCAGCGCATATGTACATATGCCTCCTGTCATCCCACATAAAAATGTAACATGTTTTTAGGAGGAAACAGAGAATTATTTTTGTCTCTTGATTAAAATATTGAGAATAGAAAGACATTTGGTAAGATAGTAGTTTTCATGCTTAAATCTGAAAGCAGAATTAACCCCAAATATATAGTGGTTTTCGACCATTTTAAGAATGAGCCCCCCTTTTTAATATGTACTATTTTGGATAGTCTCTGTGAATCAGTCAGAATTTTGACAGGAAGCAGGTGGTACATCAAACTGGATAGTTGAGGAGAATTAGTAACTTTTACAAAGGTGTAGGTGGGGGTTAGGAAAACAACTCAGGATGGCACAGTACCCCTAGGGCTGTTACCATTTGTGATGGGCCAGATTGCATCCCCACAAATTCATTTGAAATCCTAGCCCCCAGTAACTCAAAATGTGACCGTATTTGGAAATAGGGTCTTTAAAGACCTTAAAGAGTTTTAATTAAATTAAAATGGTATCATTAGGGTGGATCTGAATCCAATATCACCAGTTCCTTATAAGGAAACACGTAAGGACACAAAGGCACCCGAGGAAAGACCACGTGAGGCTCAGGGAGAAGACAGCCATCTACAAGCCCAGGAGAGAGGCCTCAGAAGAAACCAACCCTGCCAGTATCTTGATCTCAGATTTCTGGCCTCCAGAGCTGCTAGAAAATAACTTTTATTGTTTAAGCCCCTCAGTCTTTATTATGGTAGACCTAGAGAACTAATCACCATCTCTGGGCCTGAAGAGGTAATGGGAAGACACAGGTTCAGAAGAGAACAGCTGGATGGAGAACATTGGACCAGAGAAATGCACCAACCAGTGGTTACTCAGCAGGAGGGAGCTGGGAAAACAAATACCCCAACCTCAGTATCCCCCATTATTTAATCTGCTGGTACCTCCCATTGGTCAAAACCAATTGATGCCATAGGACAAAGAAGCCCATTGATGCCCATATAGATTAACCTCTTAGGGCACAGGGTAGAGAGAGATGGAACATCAAACGAAATATGCAACAAACCCCACACAACTGTAATCATCCTTGTAGGATCCCTTTAATTTAGATGAGGCATAATGATTCAGAGTCACTATTTATTCAGTAAAGCTTTTTAGACAGATTTGTATTGAAAGGATCTGCATACTTTCTCTAAGCCAAGTTTCTCCTGACCTCTCTAGCCTCAGAGTACTAATAAGATCACATTATCAGCAATAACTCAGATTTTGATGATTCCTGTGCCCACCTGAATACTCAGGACCCCTCCTTTTCTCATGCCCTTATAAATGCCCTTATGAAAAAGACCCTGAAGAGATCCCTTGTCCCTTCCACGATGTGGGGACACAGTGAAAAGATACTATGTATGAGCCAGGAAGTGGGCTCTCACGAGACACTGACTCTTCCAGCATCTTGATCTTGGACTGCTCAGCATCCAGACTGAGAGATAATATTTGTTGTTTGTAAGCCACCCAGGCAATGGTATTTGTTATCGGCCCGAACAGACTTAGACAGAACATAAGAAATGGTGGAATTTTTAGTAACTTATTTGTAATACTTATTTGCAAACTTAGATTTCTGGATGTCAACCAAGACCCCTTCTTTCCTCCCTATATCTACTCAGTCCCCAAGTTCTATTGGTTCTGCCTTTATCAGTTACACACCTGTCCCCCCTTCAACCGACTGCTCTGTTTGGTTGCCTTTCATGCAGTTGGCAGAGGGATTTAAGACACTGCTCGGATCATGTCTCTCCTCTGCTTCAGACCCACCCCTGCAGGATAAAATCTAAGCTATTTAACGTGTTGTCCAAACCATTTTGTTCTGTCCAGTCTGTTTCTTCATCATTTCAGTCTTTCTCTTCCTGGATGCCAATGCCCAAGATTTAAGAAGCTACTTACTATTCTCCTATTTGTAGTTTGCTGCAGTCAGTTCCTACTGGCTTGCAAGCCTACTGTGTGCATCTCTTCCCAATTGTCTTATTCATCTGGGGCATAACAAAACCATCGCTGGGTGGCTTCAACAGCAGATATGTATTTTGTCACAGTCTGGAGGCTGGGGAGTCTAAGAGGAAGGAACCAGCTTATTTCGTCACGGTGAGGACTCTCTTCCTGCCTTTCAGACAGGCGCCTTCTCACCGTGTCTTCATGTGGTGGAGGGAAAGTTCTCGTGTCCCTTTTTCTTCTTACAAGGGCACCAGCTCCATCAGATTAGGACCTATCCCACTATTAAGGCCTCATTTAACTTCAGGTACTTCCTACAGACCCTGTCTCCAATACAGTCACAGTGGGAATTCGGACTTCAGCATATGAATTTGGCAGGGCGGCAGCAGTTAGGGGATGATGACACAATTCAGCCCGTAGCCAGCTGCCTCTGTAACCTCACATTGGTAGCTTGAAATTGACCATGTGGGAGTATTTATACTACAGGAATGACAAACTCTGTGAACATGGGGTTTTGGTGGAAGGGGGACAGTTCATGTTTTCCCAGCATAGCCCTACCTCTTAGTCTCAGACCTACCTGTGTGACTTTGCACTTGGGACTCTCTGCTTGGAATTCTCTCACTCCTTCCAAACTAAGCCCGAACTTTTTTTTTCTTTGACCCTCTAAACAGCTTTCCTTGACCTCTAAACAGAATTAGGCCCTGTGTCTCCCCCTCCCCCTAACTGAGTATTCCCAATATCTCTGGTATAGCACTTAGTGCTTTGGATTTTAATGTATTTTACTAACAAGCTCTTATAGAACTCTTACTGTGAGCTGGGTTTTTTCCTGAGTGCTTCACAATATTAACTCATTTAAATAGAATCGGAATTGTCTTTGTGCCTTTACTTTAGTGTTAAGTGTAAGAAACTCCTCCACCGATCCTTACAAAACAGAAGGGCTAAGTTGACTCTCACTTTCAAAACCTCAGGTTAATGACAGTGTGCCGGTCTGGTTCTCCATTCCCCATAAACATGGAAAACTGACTTTAAAAAAAAAAATCCTCATCCAGGGATACTTTTCCATTTATCTTTGGATAGAATGGGAGGGAGGGAGAGAGAAACATCGATGTGAGAGAGACGCATTGATTGGTTGTCTCCCGCACAATCCTGACCAGAGCTGGGGACCGAACCACAACTGGCCAGGATAACATGGAAAACTAATTTTTTAAAAAAACACAAAAAACAGTAGAGCTCTTCCCTGGCTGGTTTTGCTCAGCGGTTAGAGCATCGACCCACGGACCAAAGAGTCACAGGTTCAATTCCAGTCAAGGGTACGAACCTCAGTTACGGTTCAGTCTCCGGCTCTGGTCGGGGTCGTGTGGGAGGCAACCAATCAATGTGTCTCTCTCACATTGATGTTTCTCTCTCTCTCCCCCCGCCCTTGCCACTCTCTCTAAAAAAATAAAAATAAAAAAATCAATGGAAAAAATACCCTGAGCTGAGGATTAAAAAAAAAAACACAGTAGGAATATATTAGAAGTTCATTGAATACTGTGTAAAATTGGTAAATCTAAAAATAGAGGTAATGGCATATTAGAATTATGTTGGCAACCGCTAGAAAAACTAATGCTAAATATATGTTGAATAAATGAACAAATTATTTGAAAAGCAATAAACATATAAAACCATATGATTCCATTGAAATGCATATATGTGTGCGTCAGTGTGTGTGTGTGTATGTGGTGTGGTGTGGGATACAGGCTGTCAGTAGGGACAGTCTCCTTACTTTGGGGTCACACCTGCACCATAGTGTTCTGTGCCTTTATCTCTCTTAATCTTGTTTTTCATGTATTCTGTCCAACGTTGTCTCTGCCCTGACTTTTGTCAAATCCCTCCCTGACTAATTCTGGGTATTGCTTTTATCTCATCTTGTAGGGTCCTTTTGGTACTCTCCAACCAATGCTGATTATTTTTAAAAAGAGGACAGAGGAGTGTAAGCAAAACTCTGCTCAAAATTTAGAGAAGATCCTGGTTAATGTCATCAGTGTGCCCTGATTTTAGCACTATTTTCATGTAATTTTACAGTTAGTGACCAGCACTGTAACTAACATCTGTAGTCATACATTAAGGAGATTTTAATGGGAAT